CCCCCTGCGCCTCAGCTCCCACCCTCGGCTCTCGCCCGCCGGGCCCGTCAGGCCTCCGCGCTGGGCAGGCGGTTGGGCGGCGACGGCGGCGGCTAAAGCGGCGCGGAGCACTATTGTATTCCTGACACTGTGCGCTCCCACGCTCCGCCTCTTCCCCTTCCTTCCTCCCCCCGCTACTCACCCCCCCTGCCCCCCCAACCGCCGGCCGCGCTCGCCCTACCCGACTGGCTCCCCGCCGTCCGCCTGCCGCGCGCTCTTCTGGCGGGCTGGGCGCCATCGCAACCGCCGCGCGCCTCGAGGCTCCGCCCACTTTTGCTCCCGCACCCGGGGCGCCCGTGCTCCAGGTGGGTTCCTCGCTGCTCCCGCTGGGCGCGCGGCTTCCAGGAGGAGCCTCGGGCCGGCTGAGTGCCAGAGAGGGCGACGGGGAGGTGCCTTGGCTGTGGGGAAATACAAACTAAGCTTTTCATGGCCCCTTTCAACTCTCAAGTTCTATAAGTGGCCCCTCATGTATTCAAATCGTTGTCCAGCCTCTATTGATTTAGGTCGTTTGTGCTTGAATTACCTATAATAATAAAGCCAAGATGGCTATTAATAGCATCAACTTATTCAATTGTAAGAACAAATAGCTTATGATGTTGTGTGGCTTTTTGATGCGTCAACTTGGTTAGGCTCCAGCCCCTGGTTATTCAATCAAACACGAATCTAGGTGTTGCCGTAAAGATATCTTTTTTTTTTTTAAGATTTTATTTATTTATTTTTTTTCCCCAAAGCCCCAGTAGATAGTTGTATGTCATAGTTGCACATCCTTCTAGTTGCTGTATGTGGGATGCCGCCTCAGCATGGCCAGAGAAGCGGTGCGTCAGTGCGTGCCCGGGATCCGAACCCAGGCCACCAGCAGTGGAGCGCACGCACTTAACCACTAAGCCACGGGGCCAGCCCCAAGATAGCTTGATGTAATTAAAGCTCCTGATTAGTTGACTTAAAGTCAGGGAAATTACCCTGGATAATCTGGGTGGGCTCAATCGTTCCTTTCTGACTGCATGCCCTACAGATTTTGGATTTGCTTAGCCCCACAATTGTGTAAGCCAATATCTTGTAATGAATGAATGAAAAAACAAATTGTATATATTTATGTATATATATACATACACACACATACACAGTCATGCCTCACTTAACCACGGATACGTTTTCAGAAATGTGGCGCTTTGGTCATTGCACGTACATCATAGTGTGTACTAAAGGGGAACAGAACTTGCCACCCCAAAATGTGTCTAACATGAGGATTATTTTAGACTGATTATTTTTAAGAAACAAAAGACTCAGAAAGTTTTTCTTGTTACATACCCCTAATCGTCTAAAAGAATTCAGATAAAAAAACCTGTCTCAGGATGCGAGCTATCACCTTAGCATAACATGAACTAGGTGGTAGACAGGGAGGAACCTAGAAAAGCCTGTTTGTTGGGCTCTCTTCTGTGTTCTTCTGTTTCTTCTCATGCCAGTTTAACTCTTCAGCCAGCCAGAAGAACCTAGAAAGGCAGAGGAAAATTTCTTCCTCCTCTACAGTACTTACACAAACCTAGATGGTATAGCTTACTGCACACCTAGGCGATATGGTGCTAATCTTATGGGACCGTGGTCATATATGTGGTCCCTCATCAACCATAACGTTGTTATGCAGCCCACTACTGTATATGTAATGTCCTATTGGTGGAATCCTGACTCATACAGGTGTTTAAGCAACAAATCCTTTTTGATTTACCTGTCAGGGTTTGGATATGTACCATGTGCAATTACCATGAACTCATATTGTCATTTTCATTTACATTTCTAGGCTAAACAAATATGTAGGCTCTTTTATATTTTGTCTGTTTTTCATATCAAAAATGTAGTTCTATTTCATAATATGCAAATATGTGAGTCCTAAAATATTCATAGTCCTTCAGACTTACCTCATTTTATATTTATATATAAATATGACATTATATATTATATAATTATACATCAATATCAATAATATAATACATATAATTGCATTTAATAATTTATAATATATAATTATATTTAATAATTTATTTAATATATAATTATATTTTATATTATTTAATATATATTTATATATTATAAATGTTTATATGAAGGTATATGTATTTACATATACCTCATTTTATACCTCATTTTACTTATTTTGAAATGTCAACTTAAAAAGCAAATTCACTAGTTATTTTACACTCAAAACGAGTTTATTAGGGAATAGCCAAAAGAATTGCTATTTGGGATGTGCATCCTATGGCTAACCATAAGCAAATCCAGAGAGACAAAGGAAGGGGCTATTACAGAGCAAAAGGCGGAGTAGGGAGGGGCTGTTCTAAAAGAAAGTCCATTGGAGGAAAGTAACAGTTCATGGTGGTGACAGCTTCTCATTGGCTGAGCTGTGGCATTTCTCATTGGTTGGGCTGTTGCTGCGCCTGGAGAGAAATCTGCCTTCAGTAGTAAAGTAGTTGTATTTCCTCTTGGAGATGCAAGCATAGATCTCTTCATGTGTGGAGTAATTGATGATGTATAGTAGGGCATGAGAGCTTCCTCTACAGGCCTTCTGGACTCCACTTTAGTTGAGGTTTCTTTTATTAATTTTACGGAAATAATTATAGCTTCACAGGATCTGTGAGACATATTACAGAGAAGTCCCATGTACTCTTCACCCGGTTTCTCCCAATGGTAATACCTTACATAACCAACATATTGACATTGGTACAATCCATAGTCGTTATTCAGATTTCACCAGTTTTACATACACATTTCTGTGTCTGCATGTATAGTATTATGCGGTTTTATCTCATGTATAGATTCGTGTAACCACCGCAGTCAACTATTCCTCCACCACAAAGATTCTTCCTGCTACCCAATATAGTCACAGTCACCTCCTTCCCCTACTCTAACGGCTGGCAACCCCTAACATGTTCTACATCTCTATAATTTTGTTATTTCAAGAATATTATGTAAATGGAATTCATACGTTTTGAAATTGACTTTACTCAGAATAATTTCCTTGAGATCCATGCAAGTTGTCGCGGGTATCAATAGTTCATTCCTTTTTCTTACTGAGTAGTGGTATTGCTATGGTATGGATGTACTATAGTTTAACTGTTCACTCATTGAAGGACATTTGGGTTGTTTCCAGTTTTTGCCTGTTAAGAATCAGACTGCTATGAAAATTCATGTCGAGTTTTTTGTGTAAACATAAGTTTTAATTTCTCTGACAAATACCCAAGAGTATAATTGCTAGGTTGGATGGTAAGTGTAAGTTTAGTATTATAAGAAACTGCCAGAATTTTTCAGACTGTCTGTACCATTTTACATTCCCACCAGCAATGTATGAGAGATCCAGTTTCTCCACATCTTTGCCAGCATTTGATGTTGTCACTGTATTTTTATTTTAGCCATTCTAATAGGTGTGTAGTGATATCTCTTTGTTTTAAATTGCATTTCCCTGATAGCTAATGATGTTGAACATCTTTTCATGTGCTTATTTGCCATCTGTATATCCTCTTTGGTGAAATGTCTGTTCATGTCTTTTGCCCATTTCCTAACTGTATTGTTTGCTTCTTACTGTTAAATTTTTAGAATTCTTTATATATTCTAGATACAAGTTCTCTGTCAGATGTGTGGTCTGCAAATATTTTTCCCAGTCTGTAGATGGTCTTTTCATCCTCTTAAGAGATATTGCAGAACACAATTTTTAATTTTGATGAAGTCCAACTCATCAATGTCTGCATTTACGTATTATCCTTTTGGTGTTGCGTCTAAGAAATTTTTTGCCTAGCCCCAGGTCCCATAAATTTTCTCTTATATTTCCTTCTATTTTTTTTTTTTGTGAGGAAGATCAGCCTTGAGCTAACATCCGTGCTAATCCTCCTCTTTTTTTTTTGCTGAGGAAGACCGGCTCTGAGCTAACATCTATTGCCAATCCTCCTCCTTTTTTTTCCCCCCAAAGCCCCAGTAGATAGTTGTGTGTCATAGTTGCACATCCTTCTTGCTGCTGTATGTGGGACGTGGCCTCAGCATGGTTGGAGAAGCGATGCATCAGTGTGCGCCCGGGGACTGAACCCGGGCCGCCAGTAGCAGAGCGTGCGCACTTAACTGCTAAGCCACAGGGCCCGCCCTATATTTCCTTCTAAAAGTGTTATAATTTTATATTTTACATTTAAATGCATGATTCATTTTGAATTAATATTTGTATAAAATATGAACCTGAAGTCGAGGTTCGAGGTTCATATGTTTCCCTATGTATTTTTTTGTTAAAATGACTATCTTTCCTTCATTGAATTGCTTTTGCACCTTTGTCAAAATCAGTTGGGCATATTTGCATTGGGCTATTTGTGTGGGGCTATCTCTGGGTTCTCTATTCTGTTCTATTGTTCTATGTGTCTATCCTGTGAATAAAAAACAGTTTTGATCACTGTAGCTATATAGTAAGTATTAACATTGGATAGAGTGATTCCTCCCACTTTATTCTTCTTCAGAATTGTTTTAGCCATTCAAGGTCATTTGCCTTTCCATATAAATTTTGGAATGAGCTTGTCTATGTCTACAAAAATCTTGCTGGGATTTTGATAGGAATTGTGTTAGACCTTTAGATCAATTTGGGGAGAATGGACATCTTTACTATATTTAGTCTTCCAATCCATGAACAGGATATGTGTGTCTCTCCATTTATTTAGATCTTTGATTTCTTTCATCAGCATTTTGGAATTTTCAGCATACAGATCCTGTACATGGTTTGTTAAGTGTATACTGT